AGGAACAGACAGTTAAATTGTTCCTGCCCAGTGACTTGTGCCTCTGACATCTCGAGGTCTGATATCAGAGTAAGAAATGTGAACCTGGTACAGACAGAAAGAGGGTTCATTGCTGGGGCAAAGAGGCACAGTATGAAGGGCTTCCTATCTTTGCAGCATGCCTTATATTTTCACCTGACATTATCCTCATCCCCTACAGTACGCCAAACTATAACATGGGTACATTCCAGAGGGACAGCCCCTATGGTCTGGCTTTTTGTATGGTCACATACAAGCCCAATGTAAGATTTAAAATGCAAGAATTCAGTTTAGCTTGATCTAATAAAATCACAATATAAAATCATTATCATGAGAGACCATGGCTGGATGTGGTGCATATTTATGGGTATTTCTGACACTGAAGTGTGAATCTAAAGATCTGGGCGATGCTATGCCCTGTGGTGGACCACCATCTGGCTCTGGTAAAGTGCCATAAAGATATGCATCATGATAGGAGGTGCTGAAAGCCTAGACTAGGTATGACCTTGAGTTTGGAAAATGCCAGTTCTAGTGCAATATAGTGTGTGATTGTTGATATTAAAAGTTTCATTCTCATCGAGACAAACTGTAAAAGAAATATCAGAATTAAGGTCAATACTGTGCATTTGCTTTCAATCAGTATTTCACTCTAAAGTAAACTGGGCTCCAATTACAAACAGTTGTGTTTTTAGCTTTTCATCAGTATTGGGGCTCAGGACCTCTATCACAAAAGTGTGACCACATTTGATACTCTTTTTTTAGATTTTGAATATAAATGGATAAAAAAATCAGCTTTACCTACAGCACAGAGTCATGCACAAGCTACACACGCAGTGAAGATCTGAGTCTTTGACACACAATAGAAAACATTTGCAAGTTTTGTTTTCTACAATGGATTATATAAATATCCACCTCATCCAGCGTTCTTTTTGTTTTGTCTTATAAAATATCCAATTACTAATTTGGTGTGAGAAACTGCTGCAAACAATTCAGTCTGAGTCAACTGTCCGAAAGAATCAAAGTGAACAAACAGTTTCCAACCTTTTGCCCGATTAATTCATTGGAGAATCTAGCATTGCTAGTTCTGATTCTAAACAGCTGATGTTTAAACATTCTAATGACACATGACTTGATTGCTGAAATATTATCAGAAAAAATGTGGTATATTCCCACCTTCAATACCACAACTGAGGTGCCCTTGAGCAAGGCACCGAACCCCAACTGCTCCCCGGGCGGCACAGCATAAATGGCTGCTCACTGCTCCGGGTGTGTGTGTGTGTTCACTGCTGTGTGTGTGCGCACTTTGGATGGGTTAAATGCAGAGCACTAATTCCAAGTATGGGTCACTATACTCGGCCACATGTCACGTCACTTCACTTCAAATGGCAATTCAAGTTAAAACAAAATCAAATGAATCAAGAAACAATCTTGCCAGATCTTTGGCTGTTTTAAATACCAGATACCTGAAAATACAATTGTTTTGCAGTCAGTAAGCATTTTATTGTAATTCAGTTACACACATAAAATAATAAATACAAATTACACAGAACATTTTTATCACAGTATATTTCCATTGTCAACAATCACCACCATTTCTACCCGAAAAACATGCATAAGCAGAATACACACACAAGCATACATACACACATGCACTCACTCCTCATATGTCTTTCCTGAGCTGTCTGAATGATGCTCAAGAGGCAAAATATGAATCTTGCATTGAATACAATCGGTCAATGGGTGTTAAAAGGGAAGGTTCACTGGACAACATACAGTCTCCAAAATGACAAAGAGGGTCACTGTCTGTGTCACAACCTATAAAGAGAGAGATGGTAAATGGGATGGACAAAAAGTATTTGTCTGCACTTTTCACTGCAGAGTATCAGTACTATATTTTGAGAGCCTAGTGTGTGTTTTGTTGTGTGTACCGTAGGGATGCATGTGGTCTCCAGGCATCTGAGGAGGCGTAAGACCCTGTCTGAATGGGTCCAGCTTGAAGCTCTGTGAGTCTAGACCTATATTCTGCCGGGTAAGTGAATATGAACCTGCACACTCCAGCTCAGCAGGCAGACCTCCACAAGAGGGAGCTGTAGTCATACAAATGGCAAGAAAAGAACTTCTCAGTGTAGTGTAGATTTAAACATCTTCGGCTAAAGGATGAATTTAGGCCAGATAAGTTCTTTTCACATATAAAATTGTTAACCCCAGGTCTAATCCTTGGTTTAACAGAATCCTGGGTTATATTTTTCCATATTTTACATTGTACATTCGTAAACCCAGGTTAACGTAATTTTACTTTTTGCATGTCAGTATCAATAACTTATGAAAAATAACATTTGAGCATCAGTTGCTTATATTACTGTACCTTCAACTTTGTCCTAAATAAGCCTTAATCCCAATTATGTGTTTTTCGCCACTGTGTGACTTTTTTTTCCTGTTAAAACCCGGCTAATGGAATGTGCGTGGAATATTCTGGCAAGGTTCTCCAAAAGTTATGAACAAATGTTCTTCCAGTAACACAGAACGTTTGTTTTGGTTGGACATTAGACTCAAGCTTTTTTAAAAACATTATTACTTACTACTTGTTTCAGAATGTTCAGAAAACATCCAAAAGTAATGTTCTTATAATGTTTGCAAAATTATAAAATTCCTTTTCCCCAAATTATGTTTTTTTTTTTTTACGAACATTAAGAAATAACGTTTTCATAACCTA